TCTTTCGATCCGTTCAACACGTGCATCTCATACGTCGCATACGTACGTTATCGCTGCAACCGTCGTACGTGCAATCTTACGGTGATCTCTTCTCCTCGAAAATCAAGCAATCGTCCGTTTGATCGACAACGCGTAACGTTAAATCCGTAATGCTCCGCGCGATGATCGGCAGGTAATGATCTGCGCTGGCGTTTCCGATATCTTATATCCGGCGGTACCCTCGGTGAAAATTCATGTATCGTATGAACGAGTTTGCCGTGTTGTACGCGCCCGCGGTCACGTTACATTCTACGCGATAATATTAACGTTGATAATGTTAATCGGCATGTTCGATTCGTACCATTTTCCCGACTCGAGAATACGATTCGAGAATCCTAGCAGCGATCCAATGTTGCCGGGTTTGCTAAAGTTTAATCTGTATGTGCATTTGATCTCGCTCCTCATCGTATTGTAATTAGTGCGGAACACTATCGGATATATCGTCATCTTCATTGACACCGTCGTCATCTTTCATTGACACCGTCGTCAATGTGTTTCGTATTGTAAATAGTGCGGAACACTATCGGATATTCGCCATCTTCATTGACACCGTCGTCAATGTGTTTCGTATCGCGATGTTGTCGTGAAATTGCACGTTTCAAAAATTCATGTATATCTCGCAACTCGTACGATCCCTCGGGAATCGTAATTTCCGCGTCGTCTTTGCCAAAGTAAAATTTATTATTCGAGGAATTCACATTCGGTATTGTGTGATAAGTTTCAAAATCCGTTAGACCGAGTTCGTATGCATCGTCGCCCAAATCTACGGCGGGAAAAATTTGCCGTGAGACGCTACTCTTCCCACTCAACGTGAATGTCATAGACATGTCGGCAAAACTGTTTAACGAATACTGAGTTAAATAGCGCAATATCAGTCTTTAAATTCGCACGCATCGACCGTTCGAAGAAACTGCAAGCACAATTGTCCACAGATGCTCTGATCGTAAGTTTGAACAGGTGTGTAATTGTACTGTATCTTCGTTACGTTTCGTCCGAAATATCGCACCAGTTCATTCGGTGGTCGAAGATTGCCGAAACTGTCGAAATATATAACGCGATTTCCCCTCTTTGCGTACGCTACCCAATGAGTACCTGGTCCTTCGACGCTATCCAAATTTACGATGCCGCTCTCGTTTTGATAAATACAACCGATCGGTAAAGAGTTGCGCATGAAAACACCTCTAAAATATGGAATGCGCATACGTTTTGCCAGTTGCAGCAATTGTACGTTGGTAGTTGCACCCTGCGGCATTTTAGCGTCTCTTTGACGTTTTTTTTTTTTCTCGGTGAGGCTCCTCGTCCGTGTTTGTAAGGAGCGAGATATAATCCATGACCTTCCATGGCGCGATTGTGACGTAGCATCTCCTGCAACTGACGTTGCGCGGCTTTTCTGTCGTTCACCACCCTTCGCTACACCAGCCGCTCCACCGATCAGGGATCCAGGCGCCCCCCAACCATTGGTACAAAAAGAATCGGCAATATGCGCCGCAT